GAAGATCTCAAAGAGTTAGAAAATCAGCTATTCCTGCTGATTATGAAGTGTACAACACTGAGGAATTTCAAATGGAGGATGATTCCCACCTCATTTGAAGAAGCCATGAGAAGTGATCATTCATCAAAGTGGCTTGAGGCCATGGAAGATGAAATGAAATCAATGAATGCAAATAAAGTTCGGAATTTAGAAATAATTCCTAAAGGAGCCAAAACAGTAGGGTGTAAATGGGTCTACAGAACAAAACTTGACTCTCAAGGGAATATAGAGAGATATAAAGCACGACTTATGGCAAAAGGCTTTATGCAAAGAGAATGGATTGATTACAATGAGACATTTTCTCCAGTCTCATGTAAAGTTTTCTTCAGAATCATAATGGCATTAGTGGCACATTACGATTGAGAATTACATCAAATGGATGTAAAGACGGCATTTCTCAAAGGAGACTTGGAGGAAAATGTTTACATGGCACAACCGAAAGGTTTTGTCATGGAAGAAAAAGGACGAATGGTATGCCGCCTAAAGAAATCCATTTATGGATTAAAGCAAGCTTCAAGACAGTGGTACTTGAAGTTTGATCAGACAATAAAGAATTTTGGGTTTAAAGAAAATATAGAGGACAATTGTGTCTATACAAAGTTTAAGAAAGGAAAGTTTATCTTCCTTGTCCTGTATATGGATGATATCTTACTTGCTAGCAGTGATGTCAGTCTACTACTGGAGACAAAGAAGTTTTGTCCTCAAAATTTGATATGAAAGATCTTGGTGAAGCTTCGTTCGTTTTAGGGATCGAGATTCACCGAGATAGAAGAAAAGGGGTATTAGGACTGTCACAAAAGGCATACATAGAAAGAATCTTAAAGAAATTCAGTATGCACAAATGTAGTCCCTCACCTGCTCCTATAGTTAAGGGCGACAGATATGGGGGATTTTCAATGCCCCAGGAACCAATATGAGCTCAATTAAATGAAAGTGGTTCCATATGCTTCAGCTGTCGGAAGCTTGTAATATGCTCAAGTATGTACGCGCCCTGATTTAGCATTTGTTACCGGGTTACTTGGCAGATTCCAGAGCAATTCTGGAACAGAACACTGAAATTAGTAAAGAAAGTCTTGCATTGTTTGCAAGGAACGAAATCCCTCATGATGACATATAGAAGATCTGATTCACTCCACATAGTGGGATATTCAGATTCTAATTATGCGAGAGATGATAGAAAATTTAGAAAGGATATGTATTCACTCTCGCAAAGGGGGGGCTATTTTATGGAAAAGCTCAAATGCAAACCGTCACTACATCGTCCACAATGTATGACAGTTTGTAGCGTGTTATGAGGCAACGGGCAGGTGAACTGACTAAAGAAGTTCATACCCGGTTTGAAGGTGGTTGACGACATCTATAGACCACTTAAGTTATACTGCGATAATAATCCGGCAGTACAGTATGCTCACAACATAAGTCAAGTGGTGCTGCCAAACACATTGACATAGAGTATTATGTTGTGAAAGATAAAGTTCGGAATCAAGTCATAAGTCTTGAGCATATAAGTACAGAAAAGATACTCGCGGATCCGCTTACAAAAAGCTTACCACCCAACGTGTTCAGAAAACATGGTGTTCAGAGAACATGTAGCTAGCATGGGTTTAAGGGAAAGCATAAAATTCCTGGACAAAAGAAGGCCCAAAGATAAGTATCTATTTCAGAACAGGGTAGTGTATTATAGCTATTAAGTCTATCGGTAATGGACCGTGACGATGAGACATGCTCTATGCGCTAATCTGTAATGGAATGAACAAAAGTAAATAATATGAAAGTGAAAGATGAAATGAGATCAAGGGGGAGAATGTTAGTTGATCTCCACCAATAGGCCCAACCCTTGTCTCTGCTCCCTGATCGGGGGAGCCCAACCCTAATACGGTAGGTGGGCCCCTGTCGTACAGCACACATAAAAGGAAGGTGGGGATCAAGGCTCGAGTAAACGAGGTTCAACGGAGCCGCCATCCCATCCACAGACAAACCCTAAACCGATCCAAAAGAGGTGATGCCAGCGACGGGATGAGCCTGCCACCACCGCCGTCGCTCCTGCAGGGCCACCACCGTACCACTACTGGACTTCACCTCCTCGCCACTACAACGTCTACTACACCGCGGCATCGGCGTCCAAGCTGCTGCGGCGCCATGGACAGAGCGATGAATCTTCGCAAAGGGTGAGAAGGCTCACACCGGATCTACGGTTACACAGAATGGTACACACCCACGATTCTAACAGCCGGCTGCTACCATGATTTATGATGCTCAAGGCTTTGTGTCTCAGTCAAATTTGCCCGTTGACAAACCAGTGTCTCAAGAAAATTCTAATCACATGCCCAACGTCATGTTGGTATGAAACATGTTTCACTGCACAACCTCAAAGACGTCTGTAACGAGAGGTGACCTTCTTATAAAAAATAAACAGAGGGAGATGATGCCCTTTTTGTTGTCAGCAGCTTAGTTATGAGAGAAATTTTCAACCACGCGCATTACAGAGCGTCAGAGCGTGACTTGTGGACGAGATCTTAATAAATCGCTTACGCTTATTGCTCACCTCTCATCCTCTCCCCATGCGGACGGGATCTACAGAGTACATAGCGTAGTTCGTGGACGCATGGAGGCTATCAGGTCTGTTTGTCCAATAGAAAGCACCAGTGCGACACTGCTGCATAGAACTTTTTTCCATTGTTCAACCTATTTTTTCCCCCTGCTGTAACAGTATAGCAGCCTGTGCCGCAATCACCTAAGAACAAGAGTTTTAGAGCACTGGACCATTGCCGTGGATCTCACAAATAACTCTAAAACGCAGTTTTGTCCTTTTTGTTGATTGTTGTTGTTGCAAAAGTCTTGGGCTCATTATTGTGGCAAAGACTTAATTAACCTATACTAATAGAAATATATAGTGAAACGTTTTTCAAGTCAATTGACTTTTCCATCCAAGTTGATCCACAATAAAGGAATGTTTGCAATGCAACCTGGGCCCATGTGGCAGCCACCACCAACTTCGCTGTCTGCCGTGGTTTGGCCTTGGCCTGGCCGCCCTTTTTTGATCAAAGTTGTTGAACCTCACGTGCCTCACATGCAGTCATGCATCTTCTTCTTCAAGTTGTAGCCTCTGTGAAGATTCTTGTTCAAGTTGCACCCTCTCTTAAGATTCTTGTTGTTCCTCCAGCCGCAGTGTCACTTTCGCGTGGAAACTGGAAACTGGACAGCAGCCTCCTCCAGATGCAGAAAATTGATTTGTTAATACGAAGAATCTACTTTAAAAGCTACATGTTTTTTACATAGCCCAGCAATGAGTGCTGCTACAAGTGGCTTAACGACTAGATAGAGGTATTATAATAATGTTCAGTTAAGTATGTATGAGTATTAGCTACAAATAAACTGATTAGCTTGTCCATATTAATTTAAAAATGAGGAATCTTAGGCATTATTACGTAGTACTAATAAGTCATTCATAATTATTGTTACAAGTGGCTTCAGGGAATTGGGATGCAACACCTAGCCCCGTGCCAGGCAGACTCGTTCTATGTCTGGTGCCTGCAAGCAAGGAAGAGTGTGCCCAAACTGAAAAGACGAGGTGTCGACGCGCTGGTGTTTCTGATCGGATGGAGGATCTGGAAGGAGAGAAATGCTAGGGCATTCGCAAGAGAAACAATGACGCCCTCGCAGTTGGTCCTGGCGATCAAAGAAGAGGCGATGCAATGGGATCAGGCAGGGTTAAGACACTTTAGGTCGCTCGGTGTGCCAAGGTGAGAGTCAAGATTAAAAAAGCGGAGGCTCAGGTTCAAGTTCGGTTTCTTCAGGTTTGTTAGTTCGGTGCATGCGTGCGTGCTCCAGTATCTGCGTTTCTGCGGATGTTGTTCTCTTTTTTCCTTGTCCGGTAACCTCCAATTGCCGTTGTTTTTCCTGATTTGTAAGTTTAATATACTCCCTTTTAATGAAAAACGTGCCTCGTGGCACGGTCAAGAAAAATTATTGTTACAAGTGTATTTACCAATGATAATTTATGCATTTATCTAAAGAGGCAACTTACATAGTTATTGCCACAAACTATTAAAATTATTTAAAATAAATTGTTGGTTTCTTTAGTATGTGATTCGTTAAGGAACCATTTTAATTGCAAAAACACATGGAAATATAAACTTTACCGCTCATGCATGTGGCACACAATATATATGTTTACTTTGAATTAGTTTCATATATGAACCATGGAAGGGAGTACCTTAGAAGCACATATCGGAATATATGCTCGCCGAAGGTTTTTTTTTATTTAAAAAAATTAAGATCTATTTTTTTCTAGCAGTGGTCAAGATGAACGTGTTGTTCAAAAGGTACACCAATCTCTGCCATTGGTCTACCAAGCAGGGAGGAGGAAATTGGGAGATTGTGACCGGATTGACCGTATACATGCTTTCTGTCCGCATCATTGACCCGGTGGCTAGATCAATTGCAAAACCTCTCCGAACAGTGAAGAACCGGTGGTGCATCATCTGAGCCGAGCGCTACTGACGGTGCATCTTTACGGCCTGTCTTTCGAACAGCAAGTAGCTTGTTCCATTCCATCCGCGGTCCACGGACGAACAGTTGTTGCTAACAGTAACAGCTAGCTAGCCTGAGGTGTAAAAACGGCAGTTAATCATGTTTTGGTCTCGATCGAAAGCCGTCAGCGTGGTCGTGCATGCGTATGCGTGCAAAGCTTTTGCACGAGTCGACAAAGACCTTCTCTCCAATCCAATGCAACTTTTCTTTTCTTTGCGCAGCCAGCAGCATCGATCTAAAAGCCTTGAAAAGTCAATCCCGTCAGGCCTTCACCTTTTTCCTTCTCTTCTTCTTCTCTATATAAATGCTGTGCCGTGCCCATCACCCAACTACACGGTGCCAGTGCCATTGCTGCTGCTATACGACGACGTAACTGCACGGTGCGTTGCGTTCTGTCACAAGACACGCGCCCGCGCCGCGCCATATATATGGCGAAGATGCTGTGGAGAAAGCAGCAGGCGGCACCGAGCAAGCAGGGCTCGGGGTCGCCGGTCCGCGCCGGCGGCGTCGGGGCGGCGATGCCGAGAGGGTACGTGCCCATGCGGCTCGTTGGCGACGGCGGCGAGGATGACAAGCACGATGAGACTGTCCTGGTGCCGGTGGCGCTGCTCAAGCAGCCCCGCATGGTGGAGCTGCTGGAGATGGCCGAGCGGCAGTACGGGTACGGCCAGCCCGGCGTGCTGCGGATCCCCTGCGACGCCCGGCGCTTCGAGCAGCTCATGGGTCTGGCGTGCATGGCCAGGTAGCTAGACGGGTAGCCCACAGGGGTGTGGTAGTAGTTCTAAAATTTAAATGCGTGCAGCTCAGACGACTAAGAAGAATTACTGTTCATTGACTGTAATTACCCTTTTTTGAATTCTTGTAATAGGCCTTGCACATGATGCCTGCAACCATTGGCTTTGCAAATTGAAGCCGTTTGTGTTGCTGCTTCAACTTTTGGTTTGGGGCTTTTGGCCCGTAATCGGTTCACAACACCAATTGATCCTCTAGCTATGTGTTTGGTTGGACTACCGATACCGGAGCAGTGGAGCCTCCATGAATTTTTAGGCAAAGTTCTACGTGTAGGTGAGGCTGAGACTTAAGATCGAGCAGCAGTCGGAGGTATGTTGCTGTTGTACTTTTGTTCAGCCCCCATAAAAATTTTTCTGGATCCGCCGCTGGCAATGGATACCAGCCCATGCTTATACTATCTCGTTACCACTCACCACCCGGCGTTATCTGATTACATTCCTCTCAAGACCACTACGCCCTCGTGCAGTCTCAACTCCCTCCCTCGAAACCCAACGTGCTCCGCCATCGCCAGTTGGTCACTTTATTTGTTGCTTCTTTTAGTGATGATTGTCGTCTACTCATGAACTATTTTTTAATGGCCGTAGAGCTCCGGCTTCAGCTAAAATAGCTCTAGTTATGGCTTCACCTGTGGAGTAGATTCAATTCAATTGGATAGCTGAAGCTGTTTTTTACACCGTTTGACAAAACAGCTTCTTCTTCTGGTGAAAAGGATGAAATGTCCTAAATACCTTTTTTCTTCTTCTTTCCCCCCTTTTTCTCCTCTTTTATTTCTCTTTATTTATTCCTTCTCTCTCTACCTTATCACCTTCGTTCACTCAGCAACTCCCTGCGGCATCTCCACTTCTTGTTCGCATCTCGTATTCTCATCGCACGGCCTCGCATCCCCCGCCACTCACCACTCTGCCGCCCCCACCGCTCCGCCGCCGCCGCACCTCGTCCGCACGGGCTCGCATGCATCGCCTCGCGCTGCCCTAGCCATTCCATCCTGTGCGCGCCCGCCCCGGCACCTCCAGCATTGCCCTAGCACGCGACGCCTTGGCTCCGGCGTGGCGGCGCTTCCGCGCTCTAGCGCCTCGACTGCGCCCGGAGGAGGAAGGTGAGGAGGGCAAAACTAGATCTTGCCTTGCTAGCAGTCCGAGGTATCACACCGAGCTAGGTGAAGCTCGTTTTTTTTTGCTCCAACTCTCTCTATGTCTCTCTCTCTCTCTCTCCTCTTCTCTCAGCGGGTTGTCTGGAACTCCAGGCGTGGAGCAGAGCCGTTTGCACCCGTTTGACTGGCGCAGAGGCGGAGTAGCTCCTGGAGCTGGTCCAGGAGCCCTACCAAATGGCCCCTTAATTTGAAATTTACTTGTGCTCTACGTGAGATTAGTCTTACAAGTATCGTGTTGATCTTGGTAACCGTGCTATAACTTTGTCTTGAACTTAATAGAAAACATGCTTAGACATAATTGCCAAAAAAAGGTTTATGGATGGGATAAATTATTATAAAAATATAAAAATAGTGAATAAAATTTATTTATAACCTTAATGAGCAAATGGGTAGAAAAAGGGCGAGAGAAAAAGAAGGAAAGGAGGAAACATGTGGCCTCCGTGGCCGCGGCCACCGTGGCCGGGACGGCCCGCGCTGGCGCCGGCGCTGTCGTGGATGGGGAGCATGGCGTGGAAATGGTGGCTCCCGGCGGTGGGGGAGGAGGGGGTGGGGGATGAGAGGGGGAGGGGGATGCAGGCGCCGGCGGCGGCGCCGGGTGCGGCGGTGAGGATGGCGGCGTAGCCAGCTAGGGTTGGGGTGGTGGTCGGGCCATCGCCAGAGGCCAAAGGCTATAGCCTTCAAGCCAATTGACTTTTCCATCCAAGTTGATCCACAAAGGAATGTTTGCAATGCAACCTGGGCCGTGTGGCAGCCACCATCTTCGCAGTCTGCCGTTGTTTGGCCTTGGCCGCCGTTTTTTGATCAAAGTTGTTGAACCTCACGTGCCCCATGCATCTTCGTCTTCAAGTTGTAGCCTCTGTGAAAATTCTCGTTCAAGTTGCAGCCTGTCTTAAGAGATTCTTGTTCTTCCTCCACCCGCAGTGTCACTTCGCGTGGAAACTGGAAACAGGACAGCAGCCTCCTCCCAGATGCAGACAATTGATTAGCTAATATGAAAAATCCAGTTTAACTACACGTTTTGTTACAGAGCCCAGTAATGAGTGCTACAAGTGGCTAAACGACTAGAGGTATATTAATAATATTCAGTTAAGTATGTATGAGTATTAATTAGTTACAGAAAAACTGGTTAGCTTGTCCATATTTAAAAATGAGGTATCTTAGGTATTACTAGTACTAATAAATCATACATAATTATTGTTAAGTGTATTTACCAATAATAATCAGTTGTGTACCATCCCCAGATGGTAGAGGCTGCAACCTTGTTCTATTATCTAAAAAATTACCAATGATAATTTATACATTTATCTAAAGAGGCAACTTACATAGTTATTGCCACAGGCTATTAAAATTATTCAAAATAAATTGTTAGTTTCCCTAGTATGTGATTCGTTAAGGAACCATTTTAATTGCAAAAACATGGAAATATAAAGACGTACCGCCCATGCATGTGGCACACAATATATATGTTTACTTGGAGTTAGTTTCATATATGAACCAGAAGCACATATATATTGGAATATGGGTATATATAGATGAAGATTTAATAGGGATTATTTTAGTTCATTTTTTAATAAAATGGAGGTGGATATTTAGAGAGAGAAAAAAAAGGTCATCACATAACTATTATTGTATTGGCTTCTATCAAATTGCTCGCCGGATGTTTTTTTATTAAAAAAAGGATCTATTTTGTTTCTAGCGGTGGTCAAGATTAACGTGTTGCTCAAAAGGAGTTCATTTTCCCATCTCATTCAACTTCATCCAATCAACAAAACCACACTCCAATCTGTCCGCGTCATTGACCGGCGGCTAGAACAATCGCAAAAGCTCCGAACACTTGGTACGTCAAGAACCGGGGGTGCATCATCTGAGCCGAGCACTACTAACGGTGCATCTTTACAAGTTACTTACTACTATACGCAGTCTTACTTTGTTAGCTTGTTCCATTGCATCCGCGGTCCACGGACGAACAGTTGCTAACAGTAATAGCTAGCTAGCCAGAGGCGTGTAGAAACGGCGGCAGTTCATCATGTTTGGTCTTGATCGAAAGCCGCCGTCAGCGTGGTCGTGCATGCGTGCAAAGCTTTTGCACGAGTCCACAAAGACCTGCTCTCCAATCCAATGCAACTTTTCTTTTCTTTGCGCAGAGCAGCATCGATCTAAAAGCCTTGACAATCCCGTCATGCCGTCACCTTTTTCCTTCTCTTCTTCTTCTCTATATAAACGCTGCTGTGCCGTGTCCATCACCCAACTAAACGGTGCCAGTGCCATCATATTGCTGCTGCCTGCTTCGACGAGGTAACTGCACGGTGCGTTCTATCACAAGACGCGCCCGCGCACGCACCATATATACATACGGCGAAGATGCTGTGGAGAAAGCAGCAGGCGGCACCGAGCAAGCAGGGCTCGGCGTCCTCGCCGGTCCGCGCTGGCGGCGACGGGGCGGCGATGCCGAGAGGGTATGTGCCCATGCGGCTCGTTGGCGACGGCGGCGAGGACGACGAGCACGAGACTGTCCTGGTGCCGGTGGCGCTGCTCAAGCAGCCCCGCATGGTGGAGCTGCTGGAGATGGCCGAGCGGCAGTACGGATACGGCCAGCCCGGCGTGCTGCGGATCCCCTGCGACGCCCGGCGCTTCGAGCAGCTCATGGGTCTGGCGTGCATGGCCAGGTAGCTAGACGGGTAGCCCACAGGGGTGTGGTAGTAGTTCTAAAATTTGTCATGTACAAATGCGTGTAGCTCAGACGACTAAGAAGAATTACTGTTCATCGACTGTGATTACCCTTTTTTTGTATTCTTGTAATAGGCCTTGCAGATGATGCCTGCAACCATTGGCTTTGCAAATTGAAGCCGTTTGTGTGTTGCTGCTTCAACTTTGGTGTTGTTTGGTTTGGGGCTTTTGGCCCGTAATCGGTTCACAACGCCAATTGATCCTCTAGCTATGTGTTTGGTTGGACTAGCCTGCAATCGATCGGATACCAGCCCATGCTCATACTATCTCGTTACCACTCACCACCCCGCGTTATCTGGTTACATTCCTCTCACAACCACTACACCCTCGTGCAGTCTCAACTCCGTCCCTCGAAACCCAACGTGCTCCGCCATCGCCAGTTGGTCACTTTATTTGTTGCTTCTTTTAGTGATGATTGTCGTCTACTCACGAACTGTTTCTTAATGGCGGCAGAGCTCCGACTTCAGCTAAAATACTGTGGAGTAAATTCAATTCAATTGGATAGCTGAAGCTGTTTTTTTAGACCGTTTGCCAAAACAGCTTCTTCTTCTGGTGAAAAAGGATGAAAAGTCCTAAATACCTTTTTTCTTCTTTTCCCCCTTTTTCTCCTCTTTTATTTCTCTTTATTTATTCCTTCTCCCTCTACCTTATCACCTTCGTTCACTCAGCAACTCCCTGCGGCATCTCCACTTCTTTGTTCGCATCTCGTATTCTCATCGCACGGCCTCGCATCCCCCACCACTCACCACTCTGCCACCCCCACCACTCTGCCGCTGCCGCATCTCGTCCGCATGGGCTCGCACACGTCTCCGCCGCCTTCGCCATTCCGTCCTGTGCGCGCCCGCCCTGGCACCTCCAGCATTGCCCTAGCACCCGACGCCTTGGCTCCGGCGTGGCGGTGCGTCCGCGCTCTAGCGCCTCGACTGCGCCCGGAGGAGGAAGGTGAGGAGGGCAAAACTGGATCTTGCATTGCTGGCAGTCCGAGGTATCACACGGAGCTGGGCGAAGCTCATTTTTTGGCTCTAGCTCTCTCTCTCTCTCTCTCCTCTTCTCTCAGCGGGTTTTCTAGGACTCCAG